TCACTCCTGATGGTCTCCCCGACACTGGGATGAAGGCCAGTTTCCACTTATCACCTTGCACTCAAAAAAACTACAATCATTGGTCATAGTATAGTATAGCATAGTATTTCTATAACCATAAACTACATCTCTAGTAAAGCTGGAAAAACAAACAAACCGAAACAGGCTGAGAGGACTGTATGTGTCAAAATATTTGGGAAAAGGTGTTGCTTTGTGCAATAAAGAATACTCCTGGGGCTCCTGGGTGGCTCAGTTGGTTAAGCGTCTGCCTTCGGCTCAGGTCATGATCCTGGAGTCCCAGGATGGAGCCCCGCATCGGGCTCCCTGCTCCGTGGGAAGCCTGCTTCTCCCTCCCCCACTCCTCCTGCTTGTGTTCCCTCTCTGACTGTCTCTCTCTCTCTGTCAAACAAATAAATAAAATCTTAAAAAAAAAAAAGAATATTCCTAAGTGTTTAACATTTTAAAAAATTGACCTTTACTATACAGACAATATCCCTCTTCCTTCCAATCCCTCCTTCCTCGCTCCCCTTCCAAAATCATTATTTGAGTTTAAAATGCCAGGAGTTATTAAACATCCAGGTACTAATCCCTCCTTTATTTAGCTGGTGTCAAGATCAGACTTGCCCTGAGGAAAACAAGAAAAAGTCTTCCCAGAGAAATTCTGCTTTCTGAGAGATGTTTTCCAGATCCTTCAGGGGTTTTGGGGTAGGGAGGGACTGTAAGTCCTTCTTAATGCCTGGATCTTCATTTTCCCTGTTAAAATTCAGCAAACAACCCAACAACTTGGAACTAAACAACATTAAATTCTTACTATGTGTGTTTAAACACACTCATTTCTTCCCGATTGTACCCGGGAGCCTGGTAAGCTGGACAAAGGGCCACCCAAGAACAGGTAGGCAGGCTTCCTCCCCATTTCCTGCTTTGATTGTCCCAGAATGAAATCATAACAAGGTACATGAAACTGTCTGTGTGTGATGTAAAAATAATGCATGATCTACTCCCAAAGAAATAAGCAAGTCAGTCAGTTTCACTTAGATTTAAAAAATACAGAACCTGACAATTTGCCATCCCAGACAGTTACTGAAAGCAAACATTTTTCTTTTCTTTTCCTTTCTCTTCTCTTCTTTCCTCCCCTTCCTTTCTTTCTTTCCTTTATTTCTAACGAACGTCTGTCTGCTCCTGTGGGCAAGTCTGTCTTATTTACGCACTGTTTTCACTTGGTGCTTGCTGCTACCGAGCTGACTGGCCACCCGGTGGATTCAGGATCCAGTCACTGCGGCTATTCCTGATTTGGCTGAGTGGATGGAGGATTCTTTGGAAATACAAAATCCTGATATCCTATTAAACCTGACTGATGCTTCCAGCCTCCAAAGCACTTTCAGTATCTCATTTGATCCTCACAATGAACATGTCAGGTGGTTAGGGGGACCATCCCCCTTTTCAGATGGAAAACAGACCCAAAGAAGTTAAGAACGGTGGTCACACATTTAAGAGACAGCATTGCTGGGTCTCCTTCCATTCTAGAAACCCCTTTAAGATAGCAACCACCAAAAATGTTTAAACTCTTTCACTACAAACATAATTTACAATGAAGAATAAGTACAGAATTTCTTTTTGTCAAACTCTTTCTCTCTGCCATAAACAATCTCAAATAGCAACAAATATTCTCTTTGACATTTACATTCTATTTGAAGGGCATCTCCAAGACCCTTTCAGAGATGACTATCCCCATTTACTAGTGAGCTTTTTGAAAATACTCTCTCTCCCATTCTGTATAAGAATTCTAGATCCTTTAAGACAAAGATCTACCTGGTAAATAAGAACAAGGAAAAGGAAGTATTCAGCTAAGGATTTTAAAAATCTGTGTGCTCTTCTAAACTTTAAAAATGTGGGTTATAGGGCGCCTGGGTGGCTCAGTCGTTAAGAGTCTGCCTTCAGCTCAGGTCGTGATCCCGGGGTCCTGGGATCGAGCCCCGGAGTCCCAGGATTGAGTCCGGCATCGGGCTCCCTCCTCCGCGGGAAGCCTGCTTCTCCCTCTCCCACTTCCCCTGCTTGTGTTTCCTCTTTCGCGCTGTCTCTCTCTGTCAAATAAATAAATAAATAAAATCTTTAAAAAAAAAAAATGTGGGTTATAAGCACAATAGAAACAGAAACCTGCAAGTGGCTTTTTTTTTTAAAGATTTTATTTATTTATTTGAGAGAGAGAGAGCATGAGAGGGGGAGGGTCAGAGGGAGAAGCAGACTCCCTGCCGAGCAGGGAGCCCGATGCGGGACTCAATCCTGGGGCTCCAGGATCATGACCTGAGCCAAAGGCAGTCGCTTAACCAACTGAGCCACCCAGGCGCCCCCCACAAGTGGCTTTTAAAAGCACAAGTGCTGAAGTTTAGTATAGCTGTTCATCCAAAGGTATATACAGTCCCAGTAACAAACTGAAAGGTCCACAAAAGGCAAAAGAGCAAGGAGGTATCCTCTGCTGCCCGGAAGTTTCTATTGGCACTAAGAAAGGGGAGACAGATCACAACACATCTAATATTTCTACCCGGGGTGCAACGTACGTTATTAAAATTGTGAAAAAGTCCTAGGGTGTTTGCGTGGTCAAACACATCCTGAAATTGGCATCATATGGACAAAACTAGCAGGACTCCAAAAAAGAACAGCCCATACATCTATGAATCTTTTCAAAAACAAAATGACAGGAGGCCTTTATGAAGAGTCCATGGAATCTGCCATGAAGATGGGGTTGTCAGATGAGGGGGAAACTGGCTCTTACCGGGGAGAGAGCAAGGAAGAAGGGGACCGTGGTCTCTCAGACACACAGATAAGAACAGATAAATAGTTAAAGTCACAGCGCAGATGGCACCCTCTTCCTAAAGATCACAGGTCACACTCGGGCAATAATCTCGGGCCAGCATTGAGCAACAAGAGGTGGTCCAGCTGCAAAACAGGGAGTAGTAAGAAAGAGGAGCCTGCAGTTCTTATTCTGAGGATTAGCCTCCTGGCAGCTAAGTCAAGTGCAGTGCGTGCTCTGTAATGATTAGCCATGCCATCTGCTTAGATCGGCACAATGACAGCCCAATAGCTGACCTGAAGAGAGCAAAAAGGAAACGTCAACTCACTGGTCTATATTGTAGACTCCATTCCTCCCGCCACTTGCCCATAGAGAAGGAGAATTAGCAAGGGAGAAACGGGGGAGTTACCTGTTAGAGCTTCGTGCTCTACATCATTACAGAGCATCCCAAGGAGGGCTGCCTGCGAAGAGCATCTGTAGGGAAGAGCCAGCTCCCTCCCCTCTCCCCCTACACACACACACACACACACACACACACACACACACACACACACGGTTTTCCCCACCCTAAGAAACCAAGAACTGTAGTTGAACAGTCTCACATCTGGCTATCGAGCTAAGAGTAAAAGAAGCACCAGCATTTTTATCACTGTATTCAAAGACAGTGATGTTATTACTATTGTTTCAACAATATAGAGCAACGGAATTACCCGGAAATGGATAAGCCTTCTTATAATCCATAGTGATCCTGGTACAAGCAACAGCAATAAATTCCTGAAAACTGCTTTGGTGGAAAATTCAGCATTGAGAAAGGGAAGACTCCACGGAATTAGCTCTTCATTTATTTGATTCACAGTCCCCTTTCAGTAGCTCATGGAAGTGGCGGAGCCTCAGCTCTAGAAAAATACACGCTCCTAGTGAATTCCCTAAGTCTTGTGCATGATTTCAGGCCATTCAAGGACCTCCTGAAATCCCCACCAGCTTAAGTATTTCTAAAAGAAAAAAAGGTCTGAGGAGTACAATCCCATAAAAAACTCATTATTTTTATATACACGGAGAAAAGGAGGGAAAATCTTTATGACATCTGACATACATTACACTACTAAAAAATCAATACTGTATGTCAAGTTGACGTATTTCCTCCTTGGTGGCCATAAATTCTTTGAGATTGACCTCATTCACAATAAGCATGGATACTGGTCTTCTTTGTGGAATATTCATACAAACAGGCCTTTCCCTTGTCTGTCCTCTACCCAGACAGTCAATGCTTCTTGACTGGAATGGCTCCATACTATGGTCCCAAAGACAGTTTGCTAGAAAACTGGAAATGGGAAAAGTTTGGAAACCCTTTTAGGAAAATCCAGAGATGGTGTTCGGATTTCCACCCTGGTGGTCAGAGTCACGCAACGGTCACCCACGACAGCCACTGTCAATGACATCACAACCCAGGAAAAGGAGCAGCCTTCCTCTGCCTGTTTTTCATTTCCACACTCAAGACTGCATTTCTAAGATGGGGCTCACTTTGCCCCAGTTTCTTTCCAAGTGCTTCTTCCTCTCTCCTTTTTCATCTCCCTTCTCCCTTTCCAAATTCAATCAAACTCAAGTATAAATCCAAGCTCTGTCTGTATTAGTAGCAGGGGCTCCTCAAGTATCTTACTTCTCGAAGCATTCAGTTTCCTCATCTATAACAGAGGGAACATTTAACCTACAGGATTGCTCTGAAAATCAAATTTGTGACATAAGGTAAGTTCACAACAGAATGCCTGAACCACAGAAGGATTTCTGCAAATGTTAGCTCTTCTGCCTTTATACTTTATGACATTTATAAAATTAATAAAAAATTACACAATCAAGTGTTAATTAAAAAATGGGACCACGGGGCACCTGGGTGGCTCAGTCGTTAAGCATCCACCTTCGGCGCAGGTCATGATCCCAGGGTCCTGGGATCGAGCCCCGCATCGGGCTCCCTGCTTAGCGGGAAGCCTGCTTCTCCCTCTCCCACTCCCCCTGCTTGTGTTCCCTCCCTCGCTGTCTCTCTCTGTCAAATAAATAAATAAAATCTTAAAAAAAAAAAAAATAGGACCACAATAACAATGCTTTGAAAATTAGCTTTCGATCACATAGATTGAAATCTTATTACAAAGATGCTTTTAGAAAGTGTATTTTCTATTATTTATTATAGCAATTGATATGTAAATGTTATAAAATGCCATGATTTCTTCCTTTTATGCTTTAATGAAAGAGTCCAAATATAGGTCTGTTAAGTCTTGCTTATTTTTATTAAAGACTACCTTGGTTCCTAGGTTAACATAGATTTAAAAGATTGGTAGTACTGAAATGTAAATAGTTTGCCTTATTAAGAAGTGTTACATGCAGGTAATCTAGGAGATCAACAGAGTTTGCTTTTTTGTTGTTCAGAGTGTAAACAGAGATAGAGTCCTTAATGTTGTGCTTGACCTTCCCTCTGGCAAGGACTTGCCCAGCAAGCCTTAGAATAATGCAGCTGAGAGGGGGAGTGTTTCACAGACCTCATCTCTTGGATTAGACAGTTACCTGCCCAGCTTTGTGCTCCTAGGACCCACACAGAAAGTAAAAGAGTTGATTCATCTAAATGCCAGTTTCTAGTCCAGGTCTCCAAAGGAGAGTTAGAAGAACCTTAATGGAGCTCTAGAATAGATCACAGCACTCCTGAAAGGACGTGTAAATAACCTAACAGCAAAAGTGTGAAAGGAGATTGGAAGAAAGCTAGAAGCCAGTGGCAATTTTAGAACACCTTTAAAAATGACTGCCCTATCCTCTGAGCTCTCTAGAACATACATCTGACAGGAAAGGAAAACAAAGAAATGGGGAAAGTGGGTTAAGGACTTCATTCTCTGGTTTAACTATTAGAATCCCTGTTTCTAAATTACAAACTCCTGATGGACTAATTAACCATTTATACATATAAAGAGAAAAGGCAGCCCCTCTCTGCCTCCTACCCCAGTCTTCTCCTTAGAAGTCCCACTTGCCATGGTCAGAGAGAATCATTTGTACAGGAGAGAAGGAGGGAAGAAGGGCAGAGGAGAGAAGCAGGAGAGTGAGAGACAGTACCAGGTTTCCTGGCAGTTTTCAAAAAGTACCTGTCCTGGAAGGGAAGGGGGAGAGGGAGGGCGGGAGGGAGGAAAAAAGGGAGGTATGTAGAAACAATTTTAAAGTTGCTGATCAAAAATCACCTTTAAAAAAAATTACCATCTTCCCAAAACCCTGAAAATGACTTAGCTTTTTTAAGCTGCCTAACTATCAGGCAGTTTTCCATTTGCTTTAACAGCACCCTCTGAAAAACACAAGGTTTCTGTAAACTGGAGACTTCCGTGGCTCACGCACTGGTGTGAATTAATTAAGAGTCAGCTGCCTCCTAACACCTTCCCTAGATCATCTGCAAGGGTAGAACAATGATGGGCCATTATCTGTGAATGGCTCTTTATGCTTCCTGTACTTTACATAACTTAACTCATAAAATCTTCACAACAGTCGCTAAAGGATTATTAAGCCATTTCACTTAAGGAAATCAAGCTCAGAAAGGAAGAGAAACTTCCCAAATGCTATCTCTTGGTAACAGATGGGGCTGGGATTTGAATCTGGAGGTCTCCTTACTAAGGGAAGGACTGGAAAAGCCCAGAGAGCCCTGTGATGCAACTATTGAACACAACGTTGTGCGAAGAGCAATCCTGGTGGTTTTCCCAATTGCCTGTGGCATTCCTTACACTCCGCTGTGTCCTGGAGCGCACACGGGCCTTAGCCTCCAACACCCAGAACTCAAGGTGGCACCTACCAGAGCTGTTGGCATAAGCTGCCCAGTTCCAAACGGCAAAGTCCTGATTTGTACACAACTACAAAACGGGTTTTGTGTAGGCTTTTGTGCAGGCGTGGGAACCATCCCACAACTGAGAACCTGATCTCTTCATAAAGTGGGAACCCTATGCATGACAGCAAAGCAGAAAGTATATGCAGTGTCCCTGAACAGGAGGTCAGCCCCAACCCCTCAAATTTATGAAAGGAATCTTGTAGTAAATATTCCCCTCTCTCCTTTTTAAAAGTTCATTTATTTATTTAAGTAATCTCTACCCCCAATGTGGGACTTGAACTCACCACCCCGAGATCAAGAGTCACACACTCCCCGGACTGAGCCTGACAGGCACCCCCACGCCCCTACTTTTTGAAACCAGTTTACAAAAACCCGGAAGACGTCAAAAGCCATCTCAAATCCTACACAAATCATATGCATTCACCCTTCAGCTTCTTTGTAGAGTAAGGTAAAGTCTCAAGACAAATTAGAACGGTGATTAAATCATTCCGTGGATGAAATTCTCTTAAAGTTCATAACAACAACAACAACAACAACAACAAAGTTCATAATAACAAGCAGAAGGGGAAGAATTCATGGAACAAGCAAGCAACATCTGCTTTTATCTAATCATGCTCCTTGCTATAGTAGCACTTGCTTATTACGTATGATGAGCCAAGTGCATACACAGCTATAGAGGACTGCCCATCCCAACCCAGAATCACCAGTAATGACCTTAAGGAACTAACACAAATTTTACTTGCTTTTATATATAATCCACAAAGAAAAACTTTTACTGCTATGAGCAACTAGAAGCAACTTTGCTGTTACAGTACTTACAGATTAGCAAGATGAAAGCATTTACCCCCAAAAGCAGGCACCTGTTAACTAGTGAGGGCTTTAAGAGCATTGCTGTGTTATTTCTCTCACCACTGGGAGTTTGTCACGAAGGGGAGGAAACATTTTCCTTGACTCTCTTAGGATCCCTGGCTGGGTCTGAAAATTAAACTGACGAAGATAACAGGAGAAAAACATACAAGTTTTACTGAATTTGTACATGTACAAGGGAGCCTTCACAAGAGAATAAAGAAACAAAGAAGTGGCCAGAGCAGGAAGCTTTTATACCTTTTAGTCAAAGAACTATGTGAAAGATTGACAGGACACAGGGATTTGGGCTAGGAGTAATCCAACTAGAGCTAGATGGTCATCTTCCTTACCTAGGAAGATAAGGGTTAGTTTAACCAGGTTTGTTTACAGATTCCTCTAGTGCCTCTCTGGGCTAATAAGAGTCCGTCTCCAGGAAAAGGGGAATTTATTTCCTGCCTTGAGGCAGAAAAGTGAGAGTTTTTTCATGTTTACTGCTTCTTTTTTTTTTTTTAAGATTTTATTTATTTATTTATTTGAGAGAGAGAATGAGAGAGAGAGAGAGCACATGAGAGGGGGGAGGGTCAGAGGGAGAAGCAAACTCCCTGCCGAGCAGGGAGCCCGATGCGGGACTCGATCCCGGGACTCCAGGATCATGACCTGAGCCGAAGGCAGTTGCTTAACCAACTGAGCCACCCAGGCACCCCATGTTTACTGCTTCTTAATTGCTTTCAGATCAAAGTAATTCCTATGTCAAAGGGACATGTTTTTAGGCGACAGCCTGGTTTTCTTTATCAGTAAGCAAATGGGGCATTTCCCTAGCTGTGAAGGCCTCCATGTGATTCAAAAAGTCCAATTCCTGGACAGTCCAGTGCTGAATCTCCGATGGAAACAATCTGAGAGACTTAGTCTTTGTTAGTATCATCATCTCCATGCCTATGTTCTCAGTTCTCCCAAATTTATTAATACAGGTTTGATCACTATGTTAGTAATGAATGGCTCAGCAAGAGAATCTTGCCTTTTCCTTCTTGTATATCTTTATAAAGTTCAGCATTCATTAATAGCTGGTACTCAAACACATTTTTTTTTTAAGATTTTATTGATTTTTTGACAGAGAGAGACAGTGAGAGAGGGAACACAAACATGGGGAGTGGGAGAGGGAGAAGCAGACTCCCCGTGGAGCAGGGAGCCCAATGCGGGGCTCGATCCGAGGACCCTGGGATCATGACCTGAGCCGAAGGCAGATGCTTAATGACTGAGCCACCCAGGCACCCCCTCAAACACATTACTAACAGAACTGCTTACAGCAGATATTATACTTTTGATTTGCGTAATGAGAAATTGTTTTGATCTCTTGGTGACGCCCTCTAACTTGAAGCACCTATGTTCTAATTCACCTGGCATCCATGGAGCTCCTGAAATTACATGTAAATTCTGGGGGTGTTTTCATTTTTCTGGAGATAGAGTCAATAGTTTTTATTAGATTCTCAAGGAAGATAGTAAAGAAAATGGTAGTCCACACCATTATAATTAGTCTTGTAAAGAAAAGTAAATACAAAATCTAATAGGCCTTTAACTTATTAGCTGTGACCCATGGCAAGTCACACCTTTCTAACACTTTACTTTCTTTTTCTATAAAATGGGGATAATAGTAACAGCCACCTTATACAAGATAATTTGCTACTAAGGACAACTATACAAAAGGGATAAAATATATTTTAAAATATCAAAGAACTAAAAAAAGAGATATTACTTCACTTAGGAAAGAGAGCAGCTCAAAGAGAAGAGCCCTACATATGGGACAGCTATCATTTTGGGAGGCATTTGCCTCTTCTAGAAGGGGCTGCTGAGTGGCAGAAAGTCTGGATGTGCTTTTAACAGAATCAGAGATTGGGAAGACAAGGATAGGAATCAGTGCCACCAAAGAGGTAGGGAAACCAGTGATGCTTCCCTCTCTTTGCTTTGGGACTTGTTAAGACCTACAACCTAATCATAAGTGTGAATCTTAAATAGACAGAATCACCTTGGTTAGAGCCCAGTTTTGAAATATATCAATACCTAAAACTAAAGTGATTTTGTTTTGCTTTGTTTTAAAGATTTTATTTATTTATTTGACAGAGAGAGACACAGCAAGAGAGGGAACACAAGCAGGGGAGTGGGAGAGGGAGAAGCAGGCTTCCCGCTGAGCAGGGAGCCCAATGCAGGGCTCGATCCCAGGACCCTGGGATCATGACCTGAGCCGAAAGCAGACACTTAACCGACTGAACCACCCAGGTGCCCCTAAAACTAAAGTGATTTTGATTTGCAAGTGGCAGGAAAAAAAATTCTCTCTTGTATCAATCATCTTCTACTTCAGATTACTTCTGCAAAGTAGAAGTACAATGTCCAGCACATAATGAAAAGTAGCCAGGCATACAGGAAGACATAACAGCATGAATGAAAACTGGGAGAAACAAGAGACAACAGAACAAACCTACATGGGCTGTGGGATATGGAAGAGAACAGGGACTGTAAAATAACTATGCTAGCCATGCTCAAGATAGATTTTTTTTTTAAGATTTATTTATTTTAGAGAGAGAGAAAGAACAGGGAGAGGAGCAGAAGGAGAGGGAGAGACTCTCAAGGGCTCAATCTCACGACCCTGAGATCATCACCTGAGCTGAAACCAAGTTAGAGGCTCAACTGACTGACCCACCCAGGCACCGCCAAGATAGATTTTTTTTAAATACTGAGAGTTTTGATAGGTAATTGGAATTTATAAAAATAAGTCAAATGGGAATTTTAGAATTTAAAAAGTCGAGGGTAGGCTTAACAGACTACATATAGTTAAAGAGATGGTAAATTAAAACATATTATCAAAAGAAAATAACCAAGATAAAGCAAGTAAAAATCAGAAGGTAACAGACATAGAAGATACAATGAAAAGATCTAGTATACACGTAATGGGTGTGCCAGAAAGAAAGATGAAAATAATGAGGGAAAAGCAGTATTTGAAGAGACAGTGGATGAGTTTACAAAACCAATGAAAGTCCTACTACACCAAGCAGGATTTTTAAAAATCCACAAATAGCTGGGTCATAATAAAACTGCAGAAAACCCTGAGGGTTGCTGGAGGGGAGAGGGGTGGGGATGGGGTAACTAGGTGATGGGCATTATTAAGGAAGGCACATGATGTGATGAGCACTGGGTGTTACATGCAACTGATGAATCACTGAACTCTACCTCTGAAACTAATAATACACTATATGTTAATTCACTGAATTTAAGTAAAATAAAATTAAAAAAAAAAAAAACTACAGAAAACCGGGGTGCCTGGGTGGCTCAAGCATTAAGCGTCTGCCTTCGGCTCAGGTCATGATCCCAGGGTCCTAGGATTGAGCCCCACATCGGGCTCCCTGCTCCACGGGGAGCCTGCTTCTCCCTCTCCCACTCCCCCTGCTTGTGTTCCCTCTCTCACTGTGTCTCTCTCTGTCAAATAAATAAATAAAATCTTTAAAAAAAATACACTTCAGGGGGCCTGGGTGGCTCAGTCGTTAAGCGTCTGCCTTCGGCTCAGGTCATAATCCTAGGGTCCTGGGATTGAGCCCCACATCGGGCTCCCTGTTCTGCGGGGAGCCTGCTTCTCCCTCTCCCACTCCCCATGTTTGTGTTTCCTCTCTCACTGTGTCTCTCTCTCTCAAATAAATAAAATCTTAAAAAAAAAACAAACTGCAGAAAACCAAAATCAAAGAGAAAACCTTAAAGGCAGCTGGAGAAAAAGGCATACTACCTACAAAGGAATAATAATTCAGAGTGACAGTTTACTCCTCAAAAAAAAAAAAAAAAGTAAATCATTAGACAACAGAACAGTATCTTAACCCTACTTACAAAAAAATTAACTGCCAACCACTCAAAACAACAATATCCTTCAAGAACGAAAGCAGAATGAATACATTTTCAGACATAAAAAACAAAATTTCTCAGCAGCAGGCTCTAAGGGAAACAGAAAAGGCCTTTTTTTTCAGACAACAGAAAAATGGTTCCAAAAAAAGCACAGAAATGGAAAAAAATACAACAAAAACTATAAACATATGTGGAAATGTAACTGAATACAGACTTAAAAATAGTAGTAATTATATGTTTTCATGTTGAAACATGTAAGAATTAAAATATACTAAAACAATGGTATACAAGATGGAGGTGGGGGGTAGTTAATGGAGTTAAAGTATTACAAGGTCCTTATCTGTGAAAAAATTAAAATACCAATTTTAAAAAATTAAATAAAATGAAAGTACCAACGAACAATATACTTTGATAAATTAAGAATGCATTATAGGAGCGCCTGGGTGGCTCAGTTGGTTAAGCGACTGCTTTCGGCTCAGGTCATGATCCTGGGGTCCTGGGATCAAGTCCCACATCGGGCTTCCTTTGCTCTGCGGGGAGCCTGCTTCTCTCTCTGCCTCTGCCTGCCACTCCCCCTGCTTGTGCTCTCTCTGTCAAATAAAGAAATAAAATCTTTAAAAAAAAAAAAAAGAATGCATTATAATCTCCAGAGTAACCACTAAAAGAATAGTGAAATGAATATAAAATCTCTAGCTAATAGAGGCTTGAAAATGTAATCATTAAAGAAAAAAATCCCATAGCCTACCAAAAGGCAAGAAAAATTAAAAATAGAGCAGATAGGAAAAAAAAAAGAGAAAGCACTTAATAAGATAGTAGAGTTAAACCCAAGTCACATGTACATTGACTAAATAATCCAATTAGGAGGCAAAAATTTTCAAGCTGGATTAGGAAAAAAAAAAAATCAACTCTGTTAAATATAAATATAACTCTGTTAAATAAAAAAAAAAAAAAAAAAAAATATCACTGTACAGGGGCGCCTGGGTGGCTCAGTCGTTAAGAGTCTGCCTTCAGGTCATGATCCCAGGGTCCTGCTCCATGGGAAGCCTGCTTCTCCCTCTCCCACTCCTGCTGCTTGTGTTCCCTCTCTCATTGTGTCTGTCAAATAAATAAATAAAATCTTTAAAAAATAAAGAAAGAATAAAAAAATAAAATATCACTGTACATCCTACAGATATTAAAAATGAGAATATTAACAAATTTATGCCAATATATTTGAAAATCTAGATGAAAAAGATAAATCCTAGAAATAGCTTATAAAACTGACAATAAAAGAAAATTTTAAATTATTTGAATAGTTGTCATACCATTCAACAAAACCCACGAATAAAAGTTCAAGGCTAGACTTCCTCACCAGTGAATTTTGGCAAACATGTCAGGATGAAATAATACTGCTATCACACAAACTCTTCTAGAAAATTGAACAGAGTGAGCTCTCTCCAACTTACTTTTTTTTTTTTAAGATTTATTTATTTATTTGAGAGAGAGGAGAACACGGGGAAAGGGGGGAGGGAGAGGGAGAGAGTCTCAAGCTAACTCTGCTGCGTGCGAAGCCCCAGGAGGGGCTGGATCTCTCACTACCAGACATCACGACCTGAGCTGAAACGAAGAGTCGGATGCTTAACCAACTGCGCCACCTAGGCGCCCCTCTCCAACTTAATTTTTAAGGCCAGTATAATCTTGATACCAAATTTCACAATGTTATGAAAAAGAAAAAGTACAATTCAATCCTACTAATTTATAAGGATGCAAAATTCCTAAATAAAAGATTAGCAAGTGGGGGAGCCTGGATATAAGGTCAATATAAAAAAAAACCAACAACTATATGTCTAGAGGTCAGCAAAAAAATGATAAAAAATGAAATTTTAGAGAAAAAATTTTTTTAAGTAGGCTCCACACCCAGCGTGGAGCCCAACATGGGGCTTGAACTCACCCCCCTGAGATCAAGACCTGAGCTAAGATCAAGAATGAGAAGCCCAATCAACTGAGCCACCCAGGCATCCTAAGTATTTATTTCCTTTTTCTAAGGATTTTATGTATTTATTCAAGAGAGAGCGGGGGAAGGAGCAGAGGGAGATGGACAAGCCGACTTGGCGCTGAGCACAGAGCCTGACTCGGGGCTGGATCCCATAGCCCTAAGATCATGACCTGAGGTGAAACCAAGAGTCAACGCTCAACTGACTGAGCAACCCACCCCCCCAGGCACCCTAGAAAATGAAATTTTAGTAGAGTGAAAAAATATGAAATATCTAGGAATAAATCTAATAAAAATGTGTAAACCCTCTACACAGAGAACTATGAAACATCACTGAGAGAAATTTTAACAGAGCTAAATAGAGGAACATACTATGTTCATGGACCAGAAGACTTGATACTATAAAGGTATCAATTTTGCCCAAATTTATTTATAGACTCAATGCAATTGCAATCAAAATCCCAACAGTTTAAGTCTTTGTTGCTGCTGTGGCTTTGTTTTGTTTTGTTTTGGTGGAACTTTAATAAGTTGATTCTAAAATGCTGTGTAAATGTAAAAGACAAAGCTAAGAAATTCGTAAAGAACAAAAAACAAGATAAGAATACTTGATCAAAGGGGCGCCTGGGTGGCTCAGTCGTTAAGAGCCTGCCTTCAGCTCAGGTCGTGATCCCAGGGTCCTGGGATTGAGCCCCACATCAGGCTCCCTGCTCAGTGGGAAGCCTGCTTCTCCCTCTCCCACTCTCCCTGCTTGTGTTCCCTCTCTCACTGTGTCTCTGTCAAATAAATAAAATCTTTAAAAAAATTTTAAAAAAAAGAATATTTGATCAAATGAATGTAAACTCTTATTTTAAAACTACAGTGTGGTACTGGAGCAAGAATATTCTAATTAACAAAAGGAATAGGCTAGGGGCGCCTGGGTGGCTCAGTCGCTGGGCGTCTGCCCTCAGCTCCGGTCATGGTCCCAGGACCCTGGTATCGAGCCCTACATGGGGCTCCCTGCTCTGCGGGGGGCCTGCTTCTCCCTCCTTCACTCCCCCTGCTTGTGTTCCCTCTCTTGCTGTGTCTTTTTCTGTGAAATAAATAAAATATTTTAATTAAAAAAAAAAAAAAGGAATAGGCTAGAGTGCCCTAACAAGTCAACTGTCATATATCTGGGCACTTGACATATGACCAAGGTAGCCCTACAGAGCAGTGACAACAGATTTACCAATAAATCATGGTGGGACAACTGGATGTCCACACAAATTTTTTAAAAATAAAACGACCCCTATCTCACACAATATGCAAAAATTAATTCCCAGTGATTTGTAAATATAAATTTAGGTGTTAAAACTGCAAAGTTTCTGGAAGATAACAGATTTATAACCTCAATCTAGAAAAAGACTTATTGAACAGGACACAATAAAACACTAACTGTAAAGGAAATGGAAGCTCTAAAGAATTCAGACATGAAAATTAAATGAGAAATCACTCTCTCCTTAAGAGAGTAAACACGCAGGCAAGCAACAGAATGAAGATTTTGCCACACATACAACCGACTATGAACTCATCTCCAGAATATATTTTTAAAAAATACCAATAATCAGTAAGAAAAAGACAAACGGGGCGCCTGAGTGGCTCAGTCGTTAAGCATCTGCCTTCGGCTCAGGTCATGATCCCAGGGTCCTGGGATCGAGTCCCACATCGGGCTCCCTGCTCGGCAGGAAGCCTGCTTCTCCCTCTCCCACTTCCCCTGCTTGTGTTCCTGCTCTCGCTATCTCTCTCTCTGTCAAATAAATAAATAAAATCTTTAAAAAAAAAAAAAGAAAGAAAGAAAAAGACAAACGATCCAATTGAAAAGTGGGCAAGACTTGAACAAGAATGTCAGAATATTTCAAATGGCCAATTAACATGAAAAAGATGCTCAACCTCATTAGTCAGGAAAAAGCAAATGAACAGCACAATGTGGTATTACTATAAAAACACCAGAATGGTTAAAATTACAGACTGATGATGTTGGCAAGGGTATGGAGCAAGGGAAATTCCCATACGTTGCTGGTGGGAGTATATTGGTACAACTACTCTGGAAAACAGTTTGGTATTATCTGCTAAAGCTGATGATTCACATAACCTATGAGCTAGTAATTCCTCTCTGCACCAGTGCACTCATTAAATGGACGATGATGATGATGATGATGATGATGATGATGAGATGAAAGAAAGGGTAACCAACATCACGCTCCTCTCCTTTTGATTAGGACTGATCATTCTGTTTGCTCCCACCTCCCAGATCCATCCCTAGGAGGCTGATCCCTAGGGACTAGATCACCAGGACATCCTGTCCAGCTGGCTTCTCTTGGGTCCCACAGATGAAAGACAGTGGCAGAAGCTGACAGGGTAGGAGGAGAGAAGTCGGGCATGTCCTCTCCACTTCCTTTTTGCTGTGTTCTGAGTTTCTAGGGGGAGTCTGCTTCTCCGGAGGCCCAAGCTCCTCCTGCCTGCCTCCAGCTCACAAGGCTTCCAGAAACATTCCTGTCGCCTAGGGTGGTAACAGCCTCCACCGCTGGGCCTTTCACTGGTTCTGGTAACCCTGCCTCCATCTTTCTAAGTTGTCTTCACCAACTCTCTTCGTTTGAACTAGGTTTAGTTCTATTTTCTGCTGGGACCCCATGGAGTGGCAATTTTATATTAATTTATATGATTGTTTTATCAACACTTGTCTTCTCCACAAGGCTGGGTGAGCTTCATCACACTGGCACTTCAGACACTGCCAACAAATATTTGTTAGGACTGATCATTTAATGGATCTTGGATCCATTAACGCATGAAGTTAATGAACGCATGAAGGAACTGATATTAGGAGCAAAATATACTATACATAGTTCAAGGATTTCTAAAATGTTCCTGCTATATTTAATGTGGCACCAATCTATCAGAGCAGACATTTTTCCTCTTTTAGTTGAAAAAAGGCCTTTGTTGGCAGGAATATTTTTACTCGTGATAATTTCAAGATACAATTTTATCTTTCTGAAGTAAGTTATCAATAATGAGATTCCAGGTGGACTGTGGTTAGTTATAGCTCTGAGTCAGTACGAACATAATAAAAATATTAACTAGGAAAACAAGGCTCTGCATCTCTGAATTTTTCATAACCTATTGCATATGACTCTAGAAAAGAAATACTACTTAGTAGTTACACAGCGTAGGATGGTTAACTCCAGGCAGGAAAGGTTCTTTGTTAATACAATAAACTACCTATTTACCTTGTTGTTTTAGGCTTAAAGAAGGACAACCTGGGCTGATCCCAGTATTAGATATGCAAGCTACGTATTAGTGTATATAGTTAGACAACTTCTACAAAATGAACTGGAAAATTCTGATTCTAGGCCACCAATCAGAATTTCCAGAACAGGGTCTGGAACTCCGCATATTGCCTTCTCTTTTATGGCAGAAAAAGTGTAGAATAATCAGGTTAGCTATAAGCGATATGATATACTAGCCAAGATCCTTTAAACCCATATATGCCATAAAATACATTTTATTTATTTTATTTGAATTTTAATCTTGAGAAAATTAGTCTGTAAACTATAATCATAACTAAATATGCACCATATCAAAAATTTTTATTTCATAGGACAGCATTTTGAAAGCAACAATTTAGCTAGCATGCAAGCTCCCAGAGGGTGATATATTTTGGACTCTAAAGAGGTCAAAGTTCATCTCTTTTCTGCAGTCTCTTTCCTGGTTAAACCTCCCCTATTTCTTCTGCTAACTTCTTCACTGTAAAAAGTATCCCAGTTCTCTTCATTCTAACCACCATGGAGAGGGGAAGGTCCAATTTCTCTAGTATGGTATGAGTTCAAGATTATTTTGTAATCTCCCAGCAAGCAAACTAGTTAGTTAATAACAAAGACCTTTCTAATATGGCACTGCGTGGGATATGGGTCTGATTTTACAATCTTTAAACGATAGGGCATGGTTTTACTAATAGTTACATTATTAATAATACCTTGTGAGGGGGTTCGGCTAAGTGATTGAGTTAAAATAGTTAAAATGCTGTTACACTGCTAATTCTTTTTACAACCAGATAACTTGCTTTCTTATGTCTAATTAGGTTGCAACAACAACAACAAAAATCCTTTTTCATTCTCTTCAGTCATAACTAATATAGGAAATGACCACACCAGCCTCTTACTGATTGCTTCCCTGGAAACGAAAGAGCATTTTATACCTGATCCTGCCATGATCAGCAACAGAATGAAGTAAAAATTAACCGTCCTCTACTTCTCTCGCCCATATACAAAGCGATATTTTTTAAGAGGGATGGGGAAGGGGGGATTAGGGAGAAGTGCCGCATTCAACTCATAAGGGCTGCTCCCCCCAATCTCCATTTTCATCAACATCACCCACTTAGGGGGCGCCCGGTACTCGAAGGGCCCCCTAGCCCGACAGGGTAAGAAAAGAATCATCTCTTTCAAAGACTGAAAAATCACGACTCCCGATGTCTTCCGCGCACCAAGTGGGGCCGGCCGCCCAGCCCCGGGGGACCGGGCGGCGTCCCGGGTGCCCTGAGCCCGGGGCCGCGGGCGGCGCCGCAGCGCTCCCGGACCCTCCCGCACGGACTGGCCGCCGGTCCTTACCCGCTAATCCGCCGCCGCCGCCTCCATCGCCCGCGTGCCCCTTCCTCCGCTGCAGGATGAAGTAGGGGTTGGCCCTCTCGGTGATCCACAGCGCGTTAGCCAGCAGCACCTCTTCGGGGTTCACCCACATGTTCCCGGGCGCCGCGAGCGGACACACAATGGGGCCGCGGGTCGGGTCCTGCACACACCGGCGCGCACAGGCGCGCACCCCCGGGCACACGCGCGCCCTCCCGCCCGCTAGGTGCGGCGGCGGAGAGCCGCTTCACCAGCCGGCCGCCCGCGGCGCCCGGGCCCCAACAAAGCCCCCGCGGGAGGCCGGGGAGGACGGCGAGGACGCGGGCGCGGCGAGCAGCATCCTCCCCGCGGCGGCGCCGCCCCCCGCGAGCCCAGGCCCGCCGGCCCGCAGCCCGGCTCCGGCCCACGGCGGAGCGAGGAGCGGGAGGAGGAGGAGGAAGGGGAGCGGGCGGAGGAGGAAGTGGTGGCGTTCAGTCCCGCGATCCGGGGCCGCGGCGAGCAGGGCTGCGGGCGACAGGAGCGCACACGGCCCCGCGGCGAGGGCCGAGCTGGGCTGGGGCGCGGCTGCTCCCGCAGCACCGAGCCGAGCTCCGGGCCGCCTCCGTCTCTAGCCGCTCCGCACCCTCGAGGTCACCGTGCAGTAACACTCGCCGTCGGGGCCACTGGCACACGCAGCGAAGCCCAGCTCGCCGCTGGAAGGGCGCTCCGGACGCTGCGAATGAATGACGCGAGCACGGCTCACTGGGAGCGGGCCCGGGTGACACCAGTTTCCGCGGACGCGGGTCCTCCGCGGGCTCCCAGCGCCGAGCCCAGCTGCTGCGGCCGGCTTTGGAGCAACCTTCTGGGGACCGTGGGCCAAGCACTCGGCCCCACGCCCATTTCAGCAGAGAGGACGCTGCCAGGCTCCGTGGGGGTGTGTGTGTGTGTGTGTGTGTGTGTGTGCGCGCGCGCGCTGTGTGTTTATGGTTGACGCTCTGTAGGCTAGCGCCACCCCCCTTCCCAGGAAATAAGTGTTTCAAGGTTCCAGACTAGCAGCTAGATACCCGGTCGGAAGTGGACGCAGCCAATGGTTGTCCATGTTTTTGTTTCCTGCATCTCTAGGGCAAGTCATGCGCTAAACTTGTCACCGCCTATAACCCCTCCCCCTCTCCATTGCATTGTAATTAAAGTGGCCCAGCTAAGTGCATTACATCACTTCTTTCCTTGACCTGTGGGGCATGAGCAATAGCGAAGTTGGAAGCAGCCCAAGAGCTTAGGCCAACTAATTCACACCACCACTGTTCCTATTTCAGGCATTTGGAGCTGCGAGGACCGGGCACAGCAGAATTCAGGGATTTATTCACACTTAATAGATGGATTTAAAAAAAAAATTTTTTTTTTTTAATCATTGAAATTAGAGACACAAAGGCCAGCTTTATCCCTAAACGGTTTTGCATTCCCCCAGTACTTCAAGCCTCTTGGGATCACAGCCGATCTACCTATATATCTGATGACCTTTTTTCACCTCTTTTTACACCTGGGAGATCTGCAGACAGCCACATCAGCAAAAGGAGGCTCTACTTCCCAGATGATGGGAATTTATCAAGCTCTGCTTTGTTGTGGAAGGTGGACATCCTAGAGACTTCTTCCTTTCCAAACAAGAAAAGCAAACCATTCCCAAAGCAAATGAGACTTTCTTGTGTGCACTTAAGCATTTTTGCTTCTGTAGCTCTCCTCTGTACTGCTGAATTCCTTCAAATGGCAAAGTGAATGCATCCCAGCCATTTTAATGAGACTGCTGCCTCGGTGCCTGTTGGTTTCTGCTCAGTGAGCTCTCAAGGAAAATGGAAGTCTCTCTTTCCCTTATCACATTGACTGACCTTCTGCCTCTTTAGGAAACATTTTAGACCTCTAGGCATTTGTGGAAACTTCACATATTTAACACAGACTCAAAAATGTCATTTGGCATCTTTGGCCATAGCACAGTGCCTTTAGTCATAGAATCTATTGCAAGTCAAGCACAATAAACATTAAGACTGCAAATCATACATATGTAAAAATTTAATAATATATTTATATAACTGAATATTTTTAAGGCTTCCATGAATATTCTTTCATTTTTTGTAATTAGCATTTTTTTAAAGATTTTATTTATTTATTTGAGAGAGAGAGAATGAGAGATAGAGAGCACGAGAAGGAAGAGGGCAGAGGGAGAAGCAGACCCCCTGCTGAGCAGGGAGCCTGACGTGGGACTCGATCCCGGGACTCCAGGATCATGACCTGAGCCAAAGGCAGTCGCTTAACCAACTGAGCCACCCAGGCGCCCTGTAATTAGCATTTTTTAAAACTCCATTAAGTACCTTCATATTGTCTTTTTTTTTTTTTAAGATTTTATTATTTATTGGGGGGGGGGCACAGAGAGAATGAGAGGGAGAAGCAGACTCGCAGCTGAGCAGAGAGCTGGACATGGGGCTCCATCCCAGGAACCTGAGATCATGACCCCAGCCATAGGGTGGCGCTTAACTGCCTGGGCCACCCAGGCTCCCCCCACTTTCATAATGTCTTTTAGAGTGTCCTTATCATACTGCTCAAAGTTGTGATGTGATTTTAGCTTAGCATTTTTTTTTTTTAAAGATTTTTATTTATTTGACAGAGAGAGACACAGCGAGAGAGGGAACACAAGCAGGGGGAGAGGGAGAGGGAGAAGCAGGCTTCCCGCTGAACAAGGAGCCCGATGTGGGGCTCGATCCCAGGACCCCGGGACCATGACCTGAGCCGCAGGCAGACGCTTAACGACTGAGCCACACAGGCGCCCCAACAATGCGTAATTATTGAATGCTTCTATGCTGTAGACTCGGGGGCTAACAAGTGAACAAACCATATAAAAATCTTTGCCTTGGTCGCCGGCGCCCCCCTTCCCGTCTCCCCCCCACCTCCTACCCCCCGGGTTCCCTTAGCCCAGCCTGGTCCAGCCCGGTTCCGGGAGGATGAAGTTCGTGTATAAAGAGGAGCATTCGTTCAAGAAACGTCGCTCTGCGGGCGAGAAGATCCCAAAGAAATACCCGGACCGGGTTCCGGTGATAGTAGAAAAGGCTCCCAAAGCCCGGATAGGAGATCTGGACAAAAAGAAATATCTGGTGCCTTCTGATCTCACAGTTGGTCTGTTCTACTTCTTGATCCGGAAGTGAATTCATCTCCGAGCTGAGGATGCCTTGTTTTTCTTTGTCAACAATGTCATTCCACCCACCAGTGCCGCAATGGGTCAGCTACACCAGGAACACCATGAAGAAGACTTCTTTCTATACATTGCCTCCAGTGATGAAAGTGTCTGCGGTCTGTGAAGCTGCTCCCCCTGAGGTGGGGGGTCCCGTTCTACAAAGAGAGAGGTGGCCCCCCCTTCCTTGACCTCCTCCTCCTCCAGGCTCAACCACCACCTCCCTTCTTCAGGACCTGCACTTCCTAATGTTTGAGGCTCTCTTCCAGCCCCTCTTAGCAGAAGGGCTCATGGGGGAGGTGACCTCTTGGACCTCTCCTTTCTCCCCTTTCTCCCCTTTCTCTTACCACTTTTCCCACTCTGCTTTAGACTTCTCGATTGTCAATCTGTCACATCCAGCGATTGTTTTGGTTTCTGTTCCCTTTCTAACTGTCCAAGGGGCTCAGAACCCCAACATTCCCTTCCTTTCACTACATTCCTTTTTGGGGGTAGATGGAAAGGACTGAAATTGCGGGGGGAAGGTAGGAGGCACATCAATAAAGAGGAAACCAAGCTGAACTGGAAAAAAAAAATCTTTGCCTTAATGAAGATTAAATGTAAAATTAATAATAAAAACCAAAACAAATTTACAAAAATTTGCTTTGAGAACAAGATTGGATGCCAAGAGGAAAGAAGAAATAATTTGAAGTCCTTAGCTTTTTTCTAGTTTTTTGTAAGAGTTAGAGCATAATCTTTCCAGGAAATCGGGGTTTCCATTATCACAATGAATTGTGTTAACCTGTAGGAGAAGGCACTGCAAAGAATCAGAGAAGCTACAAGGAGCCTAGAGCAGCTTGCCAGTCTCATACTGCCAACCACTCACTAAAGTGCAGCTTTGTTTAAAAAAAAAAAAAAAAAGACAATCAAATACACCTGAACTAGAAATAATGCAAAGAGAACCTAATTAATCCAACCAGTTCCTCAGTGAGATAGGTATTTTTAGCTTTCAATTCAATTCATGGTTTTAAGCCCAAGGATTGTCTCAAGCCACTTAAAGAAGAAAAGCATGTAACAGATGCCTAGATAAAGTAGGGGTAAATGACCTCAGTCTTTGTGTCTCACTGAGATCGGCTACTCTCCCCTCCCCCACCTAGAAAGAATCAACTCAGATAGGGTTTTGGTGCCCCCACCTCCACCCCTTGGAGCAACCAATGGGTTTACTGCTTAGTGGGCAGATCTAACTGAAACAAAATTGTGTGTCTTTGGCAATTCTCATCCCCCCCCCATTCCTACAATGTTTCTACTTTTTCTGCTTTTCACCTTCGCAGGGGTGTATTTTCCTCCCTGTCCTCACCCCTCTCCAAATAAGTCTTTATTTTGCCTTTTAGGGATTTGCCCCACCCTTGGAAATGCTGCGGAGTCTTGGGCGCTTTATTTCTGCCCACACCCTCTCCCCTCTCTACATCGGCAGCCTCAAGAGTGGGCAAGTCAGTAGAAAATTCAGGTCTAGTCTAAGCAGAGAAAATTCACCCAGCAGACTAAGAAAGTACTAATACTCCCCTGGGAGAAACCAACTCTTCCCCTAGACTTCTAGCTGAAGGTAACATGTTAATAGGAACCATTTTTTTTAAGTACCCACATTTTCCTTGTCCAACCTGGAAGGGCAGTAGCTATAGTAGAATATTTGGAATTTCTAGCGTCCAGTGAGGTAGAAGGAGAAAGGTTTACCAGTTGGAGCAAAGAAGGGTGGTATTGCTTCAAAGATTCAAGACCTTATA